GTGTGCCCCTTGTGTCATGCCGAGCGTGGGGAAGCCTTCCGAGATGATCCCCAAATCGACGCAGGCCTCTTTGCTGAGGAAGAACTTATCGGAGGTGTCTGTGATGTAGGTCAGTTGCCGTGACTCGACAACATGACCGAGGGGATCTTTGCCGGATAAGCGGAGAGGGGCGGCTCCAAGGATCGTGATGCCCCCATTAGTCGCAGTGTGCATCTCCATGGTGACTGGGATGAGGTCTTGAAGGCGTAATCCAAGGCGATGGACGACCTTCAAACCAGCAAGGCAGCTTTGGCATCCAGTGTCTGCCATGGCTGGTATGGAGCAGGTCTTCGAGGGGGATGAGAGGCCGAAACCAAGGGCTTCATAGTCATCAGGAACAGCTTTCACGGTCACATCAAGGAATGGCTGAGGTATTCTTTTTCGATCTTTTCCTGTGCCATGCTTTGGAAAGGTTATCACACAAGTGGTGGGCGATGGGGAGGCCATGTGGTTGCCCTAAGTCACGGATGGTACAGAAGGTGTCGAAGATAGCACCCTCGTGTTCGCCAGGGACGGCTGACTGTTGGTGTCGTGGCCTGCCCTTGCTGCGGTAGACATTCTCCATATGATGGAGCTTGTCACAGTGTCCACATATCTGTCCATAGGCTGTACACTTCGTCTTGCGGACATGCGCTGGGGCACTCCGTCCGTGCCCCTTTTTACCGCAGTAGGCGCACACTTCCTGCTTCTCCTTGAGATGTGTCTGTCTGGTTTTCTGATAGGAGCTGCTGGCTGCTTTCACCACGTGTGAGTCCAGGAGGGAGGAGGCAGAGCGTTTCCTGGCCTTTTTTGCCTCAATGAACTGGAAGACATCTTCCAAGCCCATGTCCTGGTTCTTGTCTCCTAAAAGATCAAGCTGGATTTCAGAGTCAGCAATTCCCCTGGTAAGCAGACGCACGGCGAGCTTTTTGATGGATGACAGTACCTCATCCTCAGTTTTGTTGGTGAGGCTGCCACCAGCAGCTCTTGTGAGATTCTTGCGTAGAGGTTCATCGCAGCATTCGAGGAGCTGTGCAACGTTGTCCTTCCCGGTGATCTTGGTGGCATCAGCGTAGTCAGACCACCGTGACTTAAAGTACGCCCATTCCTCGCTAGTGCCAGCAGCAGCAATCGTTGGTCTCTTGACCTTCTCGACCTTGGCAGTTTGTCCATAGGTGTGAATTGCGCTGTGGGCAGTGAGGAGTGCAGCAACGATAGCAGCGTCGAGGTCTGGCGTCTTGTAGTCGCAGCCGGGGATTGGGCAGTTAACAGCAGGCATCTTGGTAGGTCTACCGTGATCATAAATAAGAACCCTGTCTCTTTGTTAAGTCCGCTGTCTTAGAATTAGTTGCGGTCAACAATGATCACGGTCTGCACATGGAATAAAAGAATGGGTACATAGTATCAGTTACAATCTTCTAGGCACGTGCGTGCACGCGCGTGCGAACGCGTGTGCTGTATGATATACTATGAGCATATATATACTATATACATATACCATGAGCATTTTATGCTCTGTAACAGTGGAAGCATGTAACTATAGGGCAACAACGCCGTGATTTTAGATTTGCCGTATTCTGCAGGAGCGTGTACAGGGGGGGGGGGTGTCCAGGGGGTCCCCCCCTGCTCGCGCAGAAAACGCATATGAGTGGGTCTAATTTTTTCTGGGGGAGGGCCTCCCCGACCCCCCCTTCGCTTGCTCGCAAGTTTAGGTTACGGTTAGACCCCCTAGTACAAATCCTGTACACGCCCCTGTTCTGCCTCTAACAATAAAAAGTAACAAACTTTTTTTCTTTACGATGTGTGCCGGTTGCTACTGAATATACTCTACTCCACCTTTCTGACTGACAAGTTGGCGCATTTAATGCTATATCAGTCAATATTGTTTTATACAAATGCCAGCCAATAGATGTACATGTTTTGAATGAATTAAATTACTTATGCGGTATGTTAATTTTTTACGTTTTGCTCTACTTTTTATTTTAAATTTTAGTAGCCGATCTTCTCAGTTACTGGGTGTGGCGCATTTCGTTTGCTGCACCGCTGTGGCTCTGGTTGCATCTATAGTATACAGGGCCATAGCTAGCGCGGGGGCAGTCACCCATGAGCGGATTCAGAAGGGGTGCACCCGGCCCATCGATTTTTTGCCAAGCAAAATATTTTCCGTCTAATGTTGTGCCATGACTTTTCCAACTCAAAGTCAATAATTTTACACTCTGTATGCTTTTAAAACAAATTATAAAACATATTATATAAAAAGATGTTATGACACGTGCACAGCGGACAAGGTGCTTTCCTGGAGCGGTAAGTAGGGCCTACATTTAGGCTCGTTGCAATTGCAGGGAGGCCCCTTCTTAAAAACCTGGAATGCCCCTCGCTGCCCATACTAATATATATTATATATATATATATATATATATATATATATATATACGCATATTATGATATATTATGTTCTTCCCTTCCATCCCGCCTTCCATAATATAGACAATCTCTGAGCATGTGGATACTGGGCAAATCCCGCCCCTTTTTCATAAATATCGCAATATTAGAATTTGCAATATTCAAAATAATATTCCTAAAAAGCAAGAGTTGGTTACAAAGATTAGCAGTTAGGCCTACGACTTGGGTTAGACATATACTAAGAATATTCTTAGAAGAAGACCATATGTCTATAGACCTTAGTATATATAACTAGAGCACTCGGAGAGCGCAAACCTCCGCCAAGGCAGCTCAATTCTCTCACTGTGAAAAATTTAATTAATTAATTAATTAATTAAATAATTAATTGGATCCGGATCACCACCAAAATGTAATCAATTCTAAGTTACCCCATTTCTGACCTATCCTGAAAATTTAATTAATTAATTAATTAATTGGATCCGGATCACCACCAAAATGTAATCAATTCTAAGTTACCCCATTTCTGACCTATCCTGAAAATCTTATTAATTAATTAATTAATTAATTAATTGGATTCGGATCACCACCAAAATGTAATCAATTCTAAGTTACCCCATTTCTGACCAATCCTGAAAATTTAATTAATTAATTAATTAATTAATTAATTGGATCCGGATCACCACCAAAATCTCATCAATTCTAAGTTAGGCGATTTCTGACCTATCCCAAAGAGCTTATAATGATCATTATAAGCTCTTTGCCTATCCTGAAAATTTTATGACAATCCGTCCATAACTTTTCCAGTTAGGCTGTACACAAACCCACAAACCCACAAACCAACAAACACACGCCGGTGAAAACATAACCTCCTGCCAACCCCTTGGCGGAGGCTGAGGGCGGAGGTAACCATAGAGTTGTATTAATAAAAGGGGTCTAATATATAACTCTATGGAGGTAACTATCACTGGTTCGGTTAGCAGTGTGGCGACCATGGATCCATAGTATGGTCAAGCCATCCCGAAGTTTGCCGAATGAAATAACTATCTCAGTCTATTACATATAAATTTCAATTTTTATTCTGACTTTTGCATTTAATATTAATATATCCCAATAATTGTGATTTTCGGCTCGTTTTGCAATTTTATTCAAAAATGCTTTTTTCTTTTATAATATTGGGAAATGTAGACCTAACCACTTAGCAAAACTAACCAAAACGTAAACATTGTCGAATGTTTTCGTGTTACTCAGAGTCATACATCTCCCGTACAGTTTACTCAGATAAATTTCATCTTAAACTATATTTAAACTACAAGGCTAAAAAATGTCCTGTTTTTATCAATGGCGAGCGTGGATACGGCCATTTGGAATGGCTATATATTGTCTTGTACTTGTTATCGCATTGCCTCTGATGATTGTTGAGCTAAAACAAGCTGAAACAAAATGGCACGTGAAGGGATGGTTTATCGGCGGCTTGTTTGTGCTGTCATGTTTACCCATATCGCTCTGGAGTATTCTACAGCATCTTGTCTTCTACTCCAAACCATATTTACAACGACATATAATCAGGTGCGCACTACTACTAGTGGCTAGTACATTAAATACTACTAGTACTACTAGTACTACTTGTCTATAGTACTCACTGGCAGCAAGAACAAGTCCGCACCTGCAGCTACAGCACACACGCATCTATTGACTATATCAAGAGCTAATAGTAATAATACCTAGAGTGTACAACGGGAAAACGGGAAAATAGTGCTATTTCACGACAACATTATTCACTTTGCCTGCAAGTCTAGAATAATTTTATGGTATTGCATTAAGCAGAATTCTTTGCTCTCTAAAACAAGACCAACCGCTTGTCAATACGATACTCCTAGGCTGAGATATGGCTCCTAAACCTCCCTCCCACATGCCTCACACGGCCTCGATCCACTTATTCAGCAACCTAAACGCCTCTAAGCATTTTGGCTATCGTTTTCCGTCGCCGCTTGGAGCGCTGATAATTGATTCACATGCCCAAATTTGGTACTCTTACTAGCTGCGTGTTAGAGACTTAATTAAAAAAAACATTGCCGGCTCCATCATGACGGGCATTAGCTGTGCTAGGAAAGTAATGGGAGATAAGGGCATAGGCGATGCCCCCGAAAGTCACCTCTACCCTGCACGCTGCACCCGAAAATCATTCATAAAATTATGGCGGAAAAACCGAACTCTCACGAAGCAACCTTAGAGGCGTTTAGGTTGCTGAATAAGCTGGATGCGAGGCCGTGTGAGGCATGTGGGAGGGGAGGTTTAGGAGCCAATATCTCAGCCTAGGAGTATCGTATTGACAAGCGGTTGGTCTTGTTTTAGAGAGCAAAGAATTCTGCTTAATGCAATACCATAAAATTCTTCTAGACTCGCAGGCAAAGTAGAATAATCATGTCGTGAAATAGCACTATTTTTCCCGTTTTTCCGTTGTACACTCTAGGTATTATTAGCTCTTGACTATATATATACAACATTGCAACAAGCCTTGTAATTTTGTATATATAGTCAATAGATGCGTGTGTGCTGTAGCTGCAGGTGCGGACTTGTTCTTGCTGCCAGTGGTTCAAGCATATAAGAGCTGTTCCTGTTTCAATGTTTGCTTCAATGCTTGCCATAATATCGATGTTTTTATTTTTTCCAGAATTCGATATAGATACGATTTTGTAACTGTGTAAACAGATTTACAAATCACGTCAATGTTCGCCATAGAACACTCACCTCAGTTATTCAGTCAGCTGGCATTTAATGTTTAATCTTGTGGAACCACCCCGGCCCACAACAATATGAAATTAATCTATTCTCACAATCCTGAGCTCAATACAATGGCACAGTAATGATCGTAATTATTATTCTGCAGTCATATCCACTTAAATGATTTCATGTGGAAGCCAATTAACTGCTGTTTCTGCTGACCTGTCAATGACAAATGTCAATGTCAATGATCTGTCAATGACCTGTTATATCCTGTTGGCCCGTGGGTTCCGAAAAAAATAGGTTTTTAGATGAAAGGTGCGACTTGAATACATCACGAAGTGCTTGTCATAAAAATACTTACAAACAGAAGCAAGCAAATTAGGTGATGGCTGAAACGAGGTGGCAAAACCAGGCATTTGATTAAAATTGCTCTATTGTTAACTGAAATGTCAGCTGGAATTCGTAATGTAGGTATGGTAACTTTCCCCATCTTTATTGCAGTAATGTTTAGTACTCAGGATTAGGATAACAGATTAGTTATATAACAATGTCATAATTAGGGTTCATAATGTGACTTAAATATACATTGTTTGTTTGCTTTGATGATAGGGCATATTTTAAAATTGTATTTAAAAATATATATAGTTTTGCTTACTAGTAACTTTAATAAATATTTTAAAGTATATAAGTTGAGCACCATTCTTCAAAATTCAATTATATTTGGTCAGCCATATACCATATAGCTCTAGTCAGAACATGACACTTGCTTGCATTATGTCTAAAGTTTATATGATTTGAAGTTGGACCGAATTGTTAGAAATTATAGTATTAATTTTATGATTTGATTATTTTACAGGATATTATGGATGGTACCAATCTATGCATTGAATGCTGTGAGTGTGATACCATTGGATTTTGGAGATGATATCAATATTAATAGGATGATATGTTTGGCTAGTTCTTTGTCTATCGGTAAATGTACATTGTCTGGTTTTCTTGAGTTTGTCTGAAGTTGCTTCCTTACACAAATGCACGAACAAAACGAGCAGAAATAAAGATTTTTTTTTTTAATAAACCTCTTAGCAAAACTCGGAGAAACATCTTTGTAGAAAACTCTCGAGAAAATGTCCGGCTGTGATTTTAGTCGGCGTGTATCTGTAACGTTTACTTCTCAGTGGCTGGCGATGAGGTTCAATAGCGCAGCTATCTACCTCGACACGCTACGCGAATGCTACGAGGCGTACGTCATCTACAATTTCATGGCGTATCTGCGCAACTTCCTCGTGATGGAATACGATTTGGAGGCGACGTTAGAGATGCGTCCACAGGTGCAGCACATCATGCCTGCTAACTGGATCCTTCCCGTGTGGAGAAATGGCAGGTACTGGTACAGATTTTGTGTTTATTATAAGCCAAGTTGTTTGTTTGTGTGTGCGTGTGCGTCAGGGTAAAATTACACGGGAGCGATGAGCGATTCGCTCTTCAACCTCCGAAATCACTCCCGTGAGGCTAAAAATAGCTCCCGTAAAATTGATATTATATATATAAATGACGAGAGCTATTTTTTCCACAGACGTTTGAAAAAGAGCTCCCGTTAAAAAGCGTTATTTTTTTCCTGGTGTGCGTCTGTGTGCGCGTGCATGTATGTTGCTTGCCAAACTTCTCCAAAACTGCTGTGATTCTTAATGGAATCGAGATCCAGATCTGTAATAAAATAATGATACGCACGATTCACGGATATAGGAACCCAGGCAATACTAGGTATAACCAGTATGTAATATACACATATACATATATTTGTATATTTATTTACAGGGATTTTATTCACAATTGTAAACACGGAGTTCTGCAGTATACCGTGGTGAGACCAATAACAACAGGCATTTCATTGTAAGTAGTACTGGGCATAATTGTAGCTGTATGAATTTGAAAATAAATTTGGCATCTGCAAATGTAACTTATTATTCAGTGCCAATTCCTGCAGAAATCCCATAATAATATATAGAATCTGCATTTGAAATACCTATTGTCCAGCATGCCAGAGTTAATAGTCTTGGGATTTTTTGGCATGACCAAATAAAATCCTTATCTACCTTATGGATTTTTCGGACCATGTAACATTACCACCAACCGTAATTTTTTAGGGTGGCTTCATCTATCAAATGTTTCTTTTTGTATGTTCTGTATTGTAAAGCAATGATTGGTTTTAAAGCAATCATCTCTTAAAACAGTTCAGAGTGGTTTGGAATATAATTAACATTATTTACTCACATCCTATTGATATGATTCATTTATGGAATGAATAACACACATAGCAACTCATAGAGCATATACCAAAAATGCTCATATTACCATTATAAAAACATTATATTTTGCTTTTAATTCGGTTATATTTATCAGAATATGTGAGTTGGCAGGAGTCTACAAGGAAGGTGAATTCAGTGCAACATCTGCATGGACTTACTTGGTGTTTATTGACAACATATCACAAATAGTGAGTACCTACATACAAATGCTCTATTCATTCTTCCATGTATAGATGCATAGAAGATTTGGAACAATGATTTTTATAGACTTATACGATTCTTCTTACTGTCACAATCTGTGAAAATCTGGCATTTTGAATTTTTCTCAAGATTTGTTTGAACTAAATTCTTTCATGGTACCTGAGGCTCACTATTAGGATGTGAAATTATGTTTATCTTTAACTAGCTTTTTGCTGTTGTTCAGAGCTGATCCATACAGAATCTATTGTCATCCTGTTTTTCTTTAAAGTAAAATTGCATTCTTACTCTATAGTCTATATACTGATATATCATTACACTCAACCAGTCAAGAACAAGATAACTGTGAATAAGTGACCAAACAAAGATAATAGAATACAACTTTTAAAGTGCTACCTAGCTGTAAATTGCTCATCTCCTTATACTTGTGCTCCTAACAGCAGCAGAATGAATCGTGATAAAAGTGAGATAATCTAGCAAAAGCTACGTGTGTAGATCTGACCAGTGTGTATATAATGAAGCGTCGTGTTGGACGATCCTGTCAAACAAATTTGACTGATTATAGACCTTTATTCGCTTAGTTTGCACTCTATTGCCTGGCCCTGTTCTACAAGGCATGCAAGGAAGAACTGAGCCCTATCAGTCCACTTGGCAAGTTCCTGTGCATCAAAGCTGTCATCTTTGCAACATTTTGGTAAGCTCTGTTAAATCCACTTTTCCTAATACAGCCAATGTAGATATGATCATTCAATTATATGAAACGTCATCAATATTGAAAATTATTACTAATCAGGCATTCATTAAGCATTTATGTAGCAGAAATTTTAAAATTGTAAGAACCAGTAATAACATTCGATGATTTAATGTTTACAGGCAGTCGTTCCTTCTACAAATATTAGTATCGACAGGCCTAATTCCAAACAAACCAGATTTGTATTTTTATGATGCAAGTTCCATTGCAACTGGTCTTCAGGTAATGTCTTATATTGAACACTTAACATTGTATTTGTCAGTTTTTCTTTGATGATCATAGATATCATATAATAAATATCGTATTATATGATATCTATGTTGATGACCCTTATAGTGCTGCCATCTCGTGATAAATATAGGATATTATATAATGAAAATAATAATTGAATACTATTTGCACGGAACAGACGGCCCGTCTGTGAAGTAGGATGTTTCTACCATCCGCTCCTGTGTCAGCATCGCATAAATGTAGTATAGATACCTAATAGCATTGTGTGTATTCGACAGGACTTTCTCATCTGCATAGAGATGATGCTGGCCGCAGTAGCACACTACTATGCATTCAGTCATAAGCCGTACGTGGATCTGGCAGCCGAGCCCGTGCCTTGCTGCGAGGCCTTCTTTCAGATGTTGAACGTGTCAGACGTCAAGGCAGACGTGTACGAACACGTTAGAGTTGTCGGTGAGTGTCACAGCTTGAATTGGATGGGTTGGTTAGCGTACCTCGCTGACTCGCTTATATAGCCAACAGATGTACATGGTTGTGTGATAGGTTGGTTGGGATTGGTGTATGGTTATGTGGTAGGTTGGTTGGAATTGCTGTATGGTTATGTGATAGGTTGGTTGGAATTGCTGTATGGTTATGTGATAGATTGGTTGGGATTGCTGTATGGTTATGTGGTAGGTTGGTTGGGATTGGTGTATGGTTATGTGATAGGTTGGTTGGGATTGCTGTATGGCTATGTGGTAGGTTGGTTGGGATTGCTGTATGGTTATGCGATAGGTTGGTTGGGATTGGTGTATGGTTGTGTGATAGGTTAGTTGGGATTGCTGTATGGTTTTGTTGTTGTTGCGCATTGTGCCCTGTATAGTATGGCGATGGGATTTCAAGGTCCTGGAGCTTGTTCGTATCTGGAAAATTCTTCGTATGGTTGACAGAATTGTCTGCATACAGCTTGCAAGTTGTTCTACTACTGTAAGAACGCATGACTTGGTCGTATTATTTTGTGAAAATGATTCGAGCAAGCGATTTATTCACCCCATGCATGGAATGGCTACCAGGCCAATTCTAGCACATTTTTAAACTAGCAAGATATGTTGCAACTAACTGCAACCCTACCGGGATGTTTTTGGTATGACAGAGAACAAGTAATCGCTATATCCAATGATACATTCGGCAATTTTCTATGATTTCTATTACGATATGTCAAAACTTTTGGGGAGCCAACAGCATCACTCTTGACACAGGAAAGTGCGTGCTGATGCTGATCACATGGTCGTGCTTGAATGTGCGACGACGCGCGCTGGTCGTGCAGCGTGAGACGGTCAGTGGTACAAGGGTCGATGAACAATGTCCCTGATGCTGATATCACAGCCATGCTTGAATGTGCGGCGACGCGCACTGGTCGTGCAGCGTGAGACGGTCGGTGATCCAAGGGTCGATGAACAGTAGTCCCCGCACACGTCGTCGTGATTCTTCGAAACGGGTTTCTCTCGCAGGCGGCACGGTGAAGCGTACGATTGGCCGGGGTCCGGCAGCCGAGTCGGGCACGATGGACGAACGCAGCGGCCTGCTCGACACGCACGCTAACGACTACGAGACGTCATACATAGCCATTGAAGAGGCGTCAAACTTTATCGGAGACGGGCAGGGGAGGGTGGTCGCTCGCCGCCTGGACGTGGGAGGATTGCAGGATGCGCTATCGTCGGACAACGAAGAGCCGGAAGATCTGAGTTCCGATTTTCAAGATCGGGGGAGATATAGTCAATGCTGATGCAACATATGTAGTGATCGTGCTTATATATGTAACGAGCCCTCACTATTACAATGAGCATATATTTATATATATATATATGTTCATGCTGATACTAACCAACATGGGATAGTGGCTTTTTTGGGTAAATTAAATTTGTCATATTATGTAGCCAACTCCCATCACTCTGTATCAGGGGCCACGAACAGTTTGGAACTGAGAAATTGGGTAATCGTTTGTCATTGCTGTTTGGCAGTTTTTTATGGGATATGAATTTGCAGAAGAGCTGGTGGTTACTGTGCGACGTACTTATTTGAGGGGGTAACAGGTTTTTTTCGGAACGCATAATTAGACCAGTTTACTTACCTGGGAACAGGGAAATACCATATAAGTTTTTTGTGGTTTGAGAATGGTACCAGTAAACCAGTATGCGGGAAAGCCGAAATAACCATATCCGAAAACTGGGATGTGACATATTTTTTACCTGGAAATGGACCCCGCCCCATCTCCATTCCCACTCTTCCTTGGTGCTTATGGTCGTGTAATTGCATCATGCAGACGGCAGAGTAATTCCAATAAAGCAAGCCGTGAAATCCCATTTTTTACATGCATAAATGTAATGTGCACAAACGTTCATCTTGAAAGCAATGGTGAATCTTATTAATATAAATTTAATTGTACATACTGTTTATTTTTGACCTGGAAAGGTGTACCAAGTTTGTCACCACGCACATGGTGCTGCCTTATATTATAGGTCATTGTTACATAGGGATTACCAAATGTATTACATATGGTTGTATTAATGATATAATTATATTCTACACAAGTTTTATGTGCATTCACGTATAGATACTCAACTTATAGGTACAAGTCAGTATACTTTGCATAAATTATCAACATATTTATCATAAAACTCTGTTGTCTGGCTATGTTGCCATTGTGATCATTAGTAGAAATAATTGCACAATACTGGCGTATGTGCAAAAATGCAAGAATGTATTGTGGTGAAATTTGTTCAATAACCATCTGTGATTGTTTTGTATTAATATGTATGTAGTCATTATACTTGTAAATAATTGCAAACTTATTTATCATGTAATCCTATTTTATGAAGTACTTTATTCAATTGTTTAACTTCATCTAGGATGCAGAGTACCATATGTACAAATTTGATGAGCTGGTCCTTTACTATGAATGCACTCATATCGGGTTTCACTGGATTTACATAAAATAACCGAGTCTCCCAAGTCATTGTTCATCTTTCTGTATTAGCAAAAGTATGTTCAAAGAGAAATAATTTTTTCATACCTTAGTGATTGTGTTGATAGAAACAAAATCCCAAAAAACAGACATAACGATACACGTGCCAATTTAAAATTTATTAACAACACAAGTTTGACGCATATCCACATGGTGCATGTACTATCAGAGATTTTTACATTTTATATTTATAAAAGGTCCAGGCATCACTAATGGATACTTGGGGAATACAAAAATCCAAGCTCTAGTTTCAATTTTTGAGTGGCCAATTCATGGATATATATTTTCGTTTCAAAATGCCGACTTCCCCTGCACATTACAAACGAATTGAGATCCTATTCATGGACCTGTCTCCGTCTTGGGAAACACTTTATCAACCTTGACCTGAACCAGTGATCCCAACTATGATATCAGAACTAACCACTGGGTTCCTTAGACCCAAGTCACTGAACCTTACTGCTGTTTTGCCTTTCTTTTTATAGCCGTGGCATGATCAAGAGTAAGTTCTGTGTAAAGTAATCATGTCTTTATTGCACATGAGTAACATTTACTGTTGCATGCTATGGCAGTAGCCCATGTAATAGCGATCTATTGGTATAAATGGTCAGCATGTCTTGAGGCCTCTAAAAGCAATGATTGTTCTCCACACGTCTGCACACTAGACACTGTTTTATCGGCAAGGAACCCATGCTTCAAGAACGTCAGCATATTTCCTTCGCTCTGAAAACAACAAAATTGCCGTTAGGAACACTCGTTATCAAAACACGGGTTGTAGTTGGAATACTTCTAGGAATGCTTATATACCACAAATACTGCTGATGGATACATAATCCTAAATACACATAAAGTGAGATTGCAGGATTGCAGAAAGTCCCACTTCACTGAATGGGGCGTCGTCAATGGCCAATGTTTCACATGGAGCCAAAGTGAACTCAACTAAACTACTACTAAAAGGTTCACGAGCAATACATACAGCTATATAATTAAATGATCAGTCATTTCATCATCACGCTGCACATAGCAGTAAAGCTGGGTTTACACTATCAGTATTTAGTTGAAAAGTTGATGAGTTGACGTCAAATAGCTGATGAAGGCTGCTTCACACCACGAACGAAACTAATGGTCGTAAGAAAGGATGTTTGTAACAGGTAACATGATAATAACACCATCTACCAGTTCACAACAGACCATCCAGTACGGTACCGTAACCACACCATAGTTGTATTTTAGACAAGAACGTGACCAACAAAACTGCCCTTATAAACAGTTCCCAGAGTCCAATATTACACTTAGATGTGGATACCTAGACGACATCTGAGAATTTTACAAATAAAACAATAGTACCACTTTTGAGCTGAACTGTTAATATTCAGCATGGTAATTCCTGTTCTATTTACGGTTAACTTGCTTCTTTTAAAAACGAAGTCCAGCAATAATCTAAATGTGTAATCAGCAGGCAAACTTGTAGTGGCATTTGATTGGAAATTGGTATAAAGCGTTATCGATTTTTGTACGGGTCACAGTAAACAAGAAACCGTTCCAGTGCGACCATCTCTGGACTCACGAACCTGCTTCCTCGAAGTCTGTGGGGTGAAGACTCATATAATGACTCATTATGGCATCCCGTTCTGCGTAAGAATCAGCCATTGCTTTATTGGCAGAGATGCCTCCTGCTATGCCCATACCGCTGAAGATAATGTGTCGGTGAATCCCTGGAAAATGTTAAACAAGCGATGAAATGTGTATGGATGTGAAAGAATAAATCTAGATAAAAAGGTACCTAGCTCTCTCATCATAGGTTTGGCAAATACGTTTTTATGCATGTTTGTACACCTAGAAAAGAAAAAAAACAAAAAACAATTGCTCTTCATCACTTATCTGAAAGCAAAGATTTCAAACAGTCTTCCTGACTGTTCTCGTATTTTTCCGACAACTACAGTATTTATTGGTATTGCTTGCATAACAGCAAGCATCTAAAGTTAGGCTAACATGTCTAACACTCGTACACCGTTATTTTCACAAAATATACAAAAATTGAAATCTGTTTGTTTACATCGGGTTGACACAGTTGCACACATCAATAGAGATCTTGTACCAGTCTAGAACCACTACGTCACTCAATGAGATGCACTTTTGTCTGGTGGTTTCCGATTTCAAGCGAATTATCGCTATACAAAATGAAAGTGTCAATGACACTGTAGCTCACCACAAAAAAGGACACAAATGAGTGAGTGAGAAGAAGTCAGTTTTAATTGAGCAACCATCGACGTACATTATAGAAACGAAGACTATATATGGGAGAACTCCCATTATATACTCTTGATAATTATATGTGTAATTTTTTATGTGAAAATAAATGTTTGAGATGTGAAAGTCTGAGATGTGGGCGAGTGATGGCGTTACACCTAAATGATCGCCATTTAACGTTTTGATAATATTCAGATTTAGGCACTGCCTAAAAGCGGAGCTCCCGATGTGTAACGTGTAAGATTGAGAGGATACGCTTATTCCAATATTCCCATGTAGCTGCTATATACCACGTGACAATGGTGTTTCCCTGCCCATAACACAACTTTTGTCAAAGGTTAATTGGTTGCATGGAAGTGTTTACTTCGTATGAGTTTTTTAGGCGGTAGCACACAGTTGCCATCTGTAAATCGCAATAAATAATTTATAAACCAAAATGAATCACAATTTGTGACGGTAGATGGCGCTATACCCGCTTTGATGTTTCCTGAAAAGGGCGGGGTTTTTTGTAAAACTTTACTCTAATATAGACGTTTTATCGGCAGGGTGGAGTGGAAATACCAATTTTGCATTAAACATATTGTAATCTATGAAATCTTGTAAAACGAACCAGACGAGTGTGACATCACAGACTGTAATCTGTGTGTCTATATAATATGCCATATAATTGCCAAAACCTACCTAATTTGCATAATTTTTTTTTTAAATATCAAACCCCTGTAATACGTTTTGGGGCCAGCCCTTATTCATTCACATACCAAAAATGAGCAAAATCCGTTGAACCTGAACTGACTAATAGCAATTTCCATTTTTGCCAAAAAATTGCCGTGGCTCGAAAGTACGTCGACTGGCGTGCTCCAAAATAGGACGTTCAAACTTGTCCATAGCAGTAACAACTATACCCAATTTCAAACATGTGGTCAAACGGTTCCTGAGTTTATCGTGACCGTAGCAAATGCATGTTGACGGAAGGACGACGACCCATGGCAATAGCTCATCTTGACGATGTCAAGGTGAGCTAAAAATGAGGCTCCATTATTTACTATTTTATATACTATAACAGCATATAAACCCAGGCCCGTAGCCAGGGGGGGTTCGGGGGTTTGAACGAACCCCCCCCGAGCCCCCCCCAAGCCAAAAATTTTTTTTTTTTTAAATTTGCAAGAATTTCACCTCAGGTCGCTCCATTTTAGTGTAATAATTGCAAAATCTCCATCGTCGGCGGGAGGGTGAACAGTGAACACCCCCTCCCACACCCTCCCTCCGCTCGGATCGCTTGGCTCCCATCGCCTGGTCGCTTCGCGCCCGGCGCAGGGGCGTGTAACAGGGGGGTCGCAGGAGTCCGGAGCCCCCTGCTCTGCGCAGAAAAACGCATTGCTGAGGGGGTGTAATTTAAAAATGTTTCCAGACACCCCCCTTCGCGTGCTCTCAACTTTGGGTTACGGTTAGACCCCCCCTGGTAGCAAATCCGTACACGCCCCTGCCGAGCAAATTGCCAACATTGAAAAACGAACCCCCCCCAATATAAAGCTGGCTACGGGCCTGTAAACCTATGGTAATATTTATACTGGAGTAACCAGTAACATGTTTGCTATTAGGTAAAACTTCATTTCGCTATATTTTTCTCGACTGTACAGTTATTTATGAAATACTTCCTTTAATATATATCCTACATAATAAGAAAATCTGTTAAAAATCCCAGCTCAATTTGCAATGGCATTTGCAGTCTTCACGAATGAAATTTCTAAACACTGGACCTTCGGTCCACCAAGCCAGCAAAATTTACTGGACCAGACTAAATTTTACTGGACCAATATTATTTAGACATTTTTGACAATAAAGAACAAAGCAGTAATATCATTTTGTATTTACCTATAAATAATACCTTCTACACAACTGCTATGATAACAGTATAGTAATACCTATCAATATACATCACATGCCTTCTACATACTGGGTAGTGATACCTATCAAATATACATCAGATATGATACCTTTTACATGCTGCAATGATACAGTATGATACTTATCAAATATACATCACACACCTTCTACACACTGCTATGATAACAGTAGTGATACTTATCAAATATACATCACATACCTTCTACACACTGCTATGATAACAGTAGTGATACTTATCAAATATACATCACATATACCTTCTACACACTGCTATGATAACACAGGCTTTCAGATTTGAAAAGTACAGGAGGACTAACTAATGACTCCCCTAGGACACCATATGGGGGTCTTTTCACGCTCCATAATCACACCCTTAAGAGGCATGATGGAGAGCTGCCACTAAAAAATCACACAACCTTAAGAGGCATGATGGAGAGCTCCACTAAAATCACACCCTTAAAAGGGATGATGGAGAGCTCCTTGAGGGCTCTCCATCATGCCTCTTGGGGTGTGATGATGGAACATGACCAAGTCCTCAGTCTAGAGTGAAATCCAAAACGAAAATTGGGATGTCATGTCAAATCCATGATTATCATTCATCTTCACCTTCATTCATTCAATGGCTTCGTCATGATTACATTCTTTTTCATCACAACAACCAACACTAACACACCAGATTAATAAAGAGTTGATCGATGTAAAAATAAACTTCTGATCTTCATCCTTAGAGACTCTAATCCATGTACCTGGCATATTTCAGCACGAAATATCATCACAATCCATCAAAAAACTAGCCAAATTACTTATACGTAGTAGCCACGTATGTAGCGCCCTCCAGCCCTACGACTGTTATCACGTCAGCAGAAAACCACTTCTCGCCACATATAGTGGAAAAACGAGCAGGTAACTTGTGGCTACCGTGTAGGTACCTGTATTTAGATGCTGTTGTCTAGATTGTATAAACCAGAGGTAGTAACTGTACCTCTGCCATAATTCAGTTTACTTACACACCACAAATTGTTGCCGGTTTGTCTAACCTTTTTGTACCCCCTACTACATTGACAACTCTATGGAGCACTATTTCAAACATAAATACACATACTTTTTGCGTGCGCGATTTCAACCCACTTTTATGAGGCGCGCGATGAATCATGCACCGATGGCCACAATTTTTGGGTGGCGACGGTGGCAGCGCAAGCGAGATCGCGCCCCTTAAAAATGAACAGCCCTGCATAACAGATAAGGATACCTATCAAATATACATCACATACCTTCCATAACACTGCAATGATAACAGTATAGTGTGCACCTATCAAATATACATCCCATACTTCTTACACACTACAATAACTAGAAACGACAGTTGTCCATTTTTTTTCGCCAACTACATGTATCCCCGTGATCGACTAGTATGAATGGATATCTCTGTAAGGACAGTAGAAGGCAGATAAAGTAAATAAGTCACAAAACAAAGGCTTTGTTAGACAAACTGGTGTGCTCTCAGATGTGCACAGTATATGGAATTCTCTGTTACCTAGCGAGGCCGAAGAGGAAATGTAAGTCGACGGGAAGGCCAACTAAGCGTCAAGGGCAGTGTCCAGTGGTTTGCGTATGCGACAGCACCTTCTCCCAAGGATGGTAAGCATACAGTTTGAGTCGGCGATAGGTCAATTAGGGGACGCGAGTTAGACGAGCGGTAAGAGAATATGATCAAGGTCAAGGTAAAGGCTGAAAATAAAGATCCACGTGACCCTGGTGGGCATTTTACCCGATCTCGGCATCAGATGCTTCAAAATTGGCATGGTGCGTAAAAGCGAACGACGCCACTCAGTTTTTGTGTAGGCAGAGATCATCGTTGCCATGGTACAAACATTTTATGTGGAAAATATTGTAGACACCCTTTAACTGTGCTGTTTTTTACCCACCACTTGTCAATGGAATTTGGCACACAGGCCGATATAACATGTCCTATATATAATAATATATAAATATATATTATATTTGATAGCAATCATAAATTTAAATCATAAATTGTAAATAGCAACTTTTAATACAAATATTAAATCTTAAATTTTTATTTTAAGTAAAATATTAATTTTTAATTTTTAACTTTAAATTTAGATATAATTTAATATAATTTTAATACAAATATAAATTTCATGAACAATCGGTTGGTAAAAAGTGCAGAGTTAACAGGTTCTAGATATATTTCAGACCAAAAAATGTTGTTAGCCGATGGAGGTGATGCACTACCCTCACACCAAAACGATAGGCGTCTATTGCTTTACGGGATAATCGCACTTCATGCGAAATTGAAGATGATCCGCGAGAAGCAACTGCAGCCGCGTAGAGCGCTTTCACAACGGAATCTCTGCGGCGGCGGGCGCGACCGATGCCAAACCCATAGTATCCACCACGAAACTTCGTTCGTGGGAATACAATAACAGTAGTGGATTACCTATCAAATATACATCACATTTCAAATTACAATTCAATACAATTCAATTTTACAAATTAATTTACACCACGTCCTGTGTTCAGAACACGTATTATTATTAAT